CCCCCCCGCTTTTCGCAACATATGTGTGTTTAATTTCCATTGTCCCATAGAACCACCCACTGCCTGCCCCATGAGCTGCTAATTTGAGAGGAGGGAGATGGCTACAAAATAATTCCCTTATTGCCTACGACACGAGGGGAGTGAGGAGAGATAATGCTTATTTGGGTCTTTTAATGTCTTTACTTAACACTCAATCCCTCTCTCTCTCGCTCTTATTCAGTACCCTAACTCTCAGCATTGAAGCATTCAGGCGAGTTGCGAGAACTTGATGTCTATTGTGATATAAATAAAATAGGGCACATTTATGTGGTGATTGCATTTGTGGTTGTTAAATCTCGCAGATATCCTTTCGAAGTTGTAACTTCGGATTAGAAGCAATAGTTTCGCTCAGTCGTTGAGGTCCCATTAATTAGTAATACGGTTGGGGAACAATTACTGAGATTGGGCTTATGTTAACTATCATAAAGCCTGCCATTTGACATATATGCTTAAAAGATGCTTGAAATGGAATGAGTGCTAAAGCTGTAACTATCTGGTTATAGCACAATCGCAGTGGTGATCTAACATAATCAGGAGTGAGCAAAGGTGCCCAGTAATCCATGATCCAGAGATAATGCTAAAGAGCTTTATTTAATTGAACTGAAAGAAAGACTAGATGGCTGAAGTGGTGGCGACTTTCCAATTCCAGGCTGCGAACGCAGATGCATGGTGAAATCAATTTGCTTCCAAATATTTTTGAAACGACAAAACTATTGAAGAATTAGATGCATGACCAATGACTATTTTACGTCTTAAAAATGACTATTCGTAGTTAGTACCTCTAATATCATTCACTCGCTTGTACTCCTCAAGATGACAATTAAAGATGGTAGTGTGCTCGGCTGACTTATGTCTCCCACTAATCCCCACCCCTTGATTAGCACAAACAGAAACACCATAATCAACAATCACTGAAGATATATTATGTCAATAATACACTGAATGGCAAAAGAGCAGAGTTTGTGCTGTTGAGGTTGTTATTGTTGCTGCAATCTGCTTCTCAATTGATTTTCTGAGTAGCTAATCACGCGTTTCTTAAAAAAAGGACTTCAAGCTTTCGGATCAGATGTTATCAAATTAGTGGTACTATCTGAGATCATGGCAGTACCCACACTGTAGGAGACACTCTCAGCTAGTAGGCAGGGTTGACTACCACTTCGCCTCCACCTCCAAGCAAAGGGTACGCGTCGAAGTATCATCTCTTGAAAAGTATGGTTTGAACTCCGACAGCGACGACTCTTCCTGCAGTAACAAATGGCCAAACCAAGGCAAAGACCTACTATAAAGAGTGGGATAAATATGGCACCAGATATTGCGAGTAAGTCATCCAAAAGGTCATGGAAAGTGGAACGAGGAGGTACAAGTGTCGTTGGGAGCATTTCTGGAAGTTGACAGTACTCCCATTGATCGATGGAGGTATAACAGAACGCTCGATCACGAAGACCATTGGGATTTCGGCACCAGTTTGAAGATGCACTTAACACTGGCTGGAAGGCTAGGGATTCAACATTTACCGGGATGTACGGGTTGGGTTCGAGAACTTCGGAAACTGCTGAGAGTACCTCATTGTGGAAGGCGCATTGCAAGGCTTCCAATTCACTTCTGTTGGTGGGTTTGATCAAATCCCATCGAATACATCTTCAAATTAATAAATAACATATTACCAAAGGCAGTACGCGAAAGCTCCGTACGAAACTAAGGCGCATCTAGATAGTCTATACACATTCTACTAAGCGAATAAGCGGACGCCCGACTTCACAGTTCAAAGCCTGATTGATTCAATCTTCAGTTTCTCTCTCAAACTTAACTATTTTTCCAAAAATCGGGATTGGCGCTGACATAAGGAAAGATGCTGATCTACAAACCCCTATAAGACCTCAAGTCGGGGAAATCTAAGTGAAAATTAGAATTTTTGACACAATACGTGATGTCCAAACTCAACGCCTAGATATTAACGCACATAACTCAAATCCCGCCATTTCATCTACAGGAAAAGCCAGATAGAAATTTAGTGATGTATTTTCAGAAAATATTCCTGCAAATGACATTATCGATTAATATTGTTGCCAGTGCGTACGACGCCTCTCGTGAAATGAGGAAATACAAGCACAGTGAGTTAGAATACAGATACAAGGCCTATCCAACAAACAAACAATTTCAAATCAGCTCGACAATATTTCCAAGCGCTCAAATAATTCATCCGAATCTGTTCTCTATTTATAACCTTTGCTGTTGTAGTATGGCATTATCGATAATTGCTTACGCTTTATTAGACTCGGTAAACATAGTGTCCCCAACATAGTCACGTTGATCTCTTGTAGTGCTGTGTTCACGATAATATTCACCACGTCTGTCCACTGGATTGAGAGGATCGGTTTCACAAAGTGGCGAAAGTCTCCTTGTACAATTCACAGCAACCATATCCAACTCGTAACTGGTCATTGAGATGGACTGAAATGCAAGTTTCAAACACTTCAATACCCTCCTTAAGCAAATAAGGCGGTAAGCGAATGTTTAAGTATGAAGCTAATCATTCACACGCCAATATGAACGCGGTAAGAAGGCAGGAATAAGTTACAACCTTTGAGAAAGCGAAACAAGTGTCCTCGTCGGAGTCCACAACGCTGGTGGGCGGGGTGGACCAACGCGTGTGCGTTACCGGAAGCCCGTTGGACCATCGCCACGTTGACCTTGAATGAGCTGGCACTTTCAAACCAATCCAGTGGGGAATAGATTCCCAGGGCAGCATTCCTAAAAGTTTCCAAGCAAACTATCCATCTTTTGACAAACAAGCTTCCATGCACTCGATGAAGTATAAGAGCACTTGCCTGTTTGGGTATGATCAGAGGGTAAATGAGCTCGCATCCACGCAACCGTATAGGGTGTCGACAAGGCGGCCAAACGAGCTCCGGCTGCTGTCTGATTACACATTGATTCAGCCTCCTCGTAAGTTCCAGTGTAATTGGCCATGAATAGATAGCAGTGGTCGCCTGCATTGGACAAAATTCCATTACAGAGATGCAAACTAGGAGTACCAAATTCACATACCGCCAAAATTACCTGCAGCTGAATGATGGGTAGCATATCCTCTTGGACAAACCGCAGAAGACGCTTTAGTCCTTTGATATTCACGAGACGGTTCAAAGGAACACACAAATGGAAGACGCTCCTCACATCCCATATCCAACGAAAGTGACCCAAAGTGCTCTGTGTCAGGAACACCCTTCATTGATACACAGAGGGGTCCATCGACAGACGTAGAAAGAGGCTGCCAATAGAAAAACTGCATTCATCTCGAGCTCTATCTCTACTTCCAACACTCTAAAGGGAAGATGATTTACTCGATTTAGTTCATGTGCTATATAGCAAGGAACCCGCTCATCAACCTGATGAAAAGCATGCCGGTAAAGGAACATTCCCACCCAGTGATATCGTCTCCATATCACTTCCAGACGAGAGTAACTTCCGGAACCTCTTCCATATGTTGCCGGGGAGGGTGGCAATTTGGGCAAATTTGATAGTTGACTGGCCACGAAAACTGCAAATTAACGCACTCACTAAATCCACAACTTCAGCCACCACTTCTATTCAAATGCCTAATTTTGCCAAGCTTACCTTGATCAGCTTCTGATCGATATACGGCCAAGCCAGCTTCACCATTCTTTGAGTGCCGCGCACCAAGTTCATGGCAGTACGATTGGGCATCAGTAAAGCTCATAAACTTATCAACAATCACCTAGGGAAAAAATAGCCACTTAAAGCAAAATCAGACACCGAAGGTGCTCCTGTAGCCCTCAACTAAATATTACTCTAAAACACTGCCCATTGAAATACGTAAACCCTTCTGACCCACAATCGACATCTGGATCTTGAATGAATCCCGTTTCAGGCGATGGTAATTGCTGAGCGCTGAAGGCAAGTAAACACTTGGGGCTGTCAAAATGGTCAGTCGAAGAGGAATCTGATTGGTTTTCGGAGGTTGGTGTTGCCTGGCAAAGGTAGCCCAAATCCAGAGTACACCTCAGAGCATACCAAGATCCTGAAGGTGGAAAATAGTGTTAAACAATTGAACTCCTTAATGCAGACCAGTGCTACCAACAAAAAACAAACCCGAAGGCAAATGAAGAGCTATGCAGGACCCATGCTCGAAGAAATTGCTGTTAGTATCTGTGAAGATGGATTCCTCCTGTCGAATACGATTCTCAAAAAATTCTGAATCTCCTTGAGATCCATCTGTCCAATTGTTCCAGAAGGGCTTATTTTGTGATGTCGAAAGCCCGATCCACACTAATTCAGATGGCTTGAGCATGTGAACAGGTAAATTATTTCCAATCTTCTAATGGTTCGAAAATATAACTGTCATTTGTACTGAAATCATTTCAGTAATAAACCCACTTTAGTTACTCACCGAGATACCCGCAATGTAGCCATTCTTATGTAACAAGCTTATGATCTCTTCGAATACTATCCCATTTGCAATACTAGCCAAATGGCCTTCCCATCGATTTGTTTGTCCCGAGACTGACACAATTCGTCTGCAAGCTCTTTCCGCCATTCGCCAATCATGTCCGTGGGAACGCAATCCCCCATGGCGCACACTATAACACCTCACAAATTCGTCTCTGTTCTTCAGCTCCAGGAAATCGGTAGGACATGAAACCCTGACAAAAGCAATATTTATTAACAAGCAAAAAAACTTCCTTCCACCAAATATTCATCAAGTAGGTAGCAAAATTATACTTCTTTTTAGTCGCCTCAGGAGGTGGAGTTTTCAAATCAGGATTGATGGGTTGAACAGGAACGCTACAGAGTCTCCAACGAGGAGCTGCGTGACCCTCGCAGTCCACAGCTTTCCACCAGCCAGTCTTTGGCTCAATCGCTAGACAAAGTCCATTTAACGAACCATCCAGACGAAGAGATCTCGGGTTCAAACGATGAAAATTCCCTCCTATTGATCCGTCTTGCCTGATAAAAAGTGAATGTACTAATGAACTTTACTCAAACACACTTTCCATAGCGTTTAGTCAAGAGCTACAAACCATTTGATTGACAGTGGATGTGTCTCATTTACAATGCCTCCAATGAGAATACTCTCATCTGAAATGGGAAATTATGGCTACTCATAACGACTTAAAGATCGTTTAGGAAACATTCCTCTTAAAAATATTACCATTCTCAATGTCACCCGGAAGGAGCCAATTAATAAACATGTCAACGTCCGGTGATTTCACGCTTGCCAGAACCGATTCTCCACTACAATCACTCATTACAGCGTAGCATTTGTCTCCAAACATCACCCAATCTACAACCGCATCGTGACCATTCGTCTTAGGACAGACACCAACAGTTCTAGTCATTGGAGTGGTGCAAAATCCAACTTTCTTATGGAAGTCTTCTTCTTCCTCCATATGGTCATAATAAATTTCTCTATTTCCATCCCAACTGTCTTCTTCGTCTTCATAGCAAGCCCCGCGATCAAAAGGAGGTCTCGAGGTATTCCCCATCGCATCTAGAACGAAACAGATTTTTTCCGGTTCACTCGATGAATAAGCATCGCTGAAGGCCGATTGAGATTGGTGAATGGCTGTTGTGAGCCAGGGTGTTATAGCTGCAATTCTTGGAAACACCAGACTATCTTTCGAGTGGGTCACCTCAATACCCACCCAGGCGTGAGTTGCATTCGTCCTGTGGCGCAGAAGCGTTCGCAAAAAGGACACCTCCAGAGGATTTCGTGGAAGAGCTATCTCCTGCTTTCCACAGCCCGATTTTGCATCCTCGTAGTAGTCACTGTGTGTCATGCCATGTATAAGACTGTAGCATGTACCCAAGTAACAGATTTGTCCTTGAGGGTTTTCTGGTTGATCCCAAATTGGCGTCACAGCTTTGCGAAGTATTGCCGAGTCGATAACATTTGAGGTACTCAATGGAACCTGACATCCAAATCCCATCCGTGCTGTGGAACAGTCAGTGCGTTCCCAGTTACCAATTCGAAGACTAGCCGTGGAGAGGTATACGCATCGGTGTTCGCTTAAGGACTACAAAAAAAGACACTTATCAGTTACCTTGAAGAATAAACTCATCGCACAATAAAACTTTCATCCACCATTATCAATAACCTCAAAAAAAACAGAGTATTCCAGGTATTCGTTTGCACTAAGAAGAGACTAAGCTGGTCCCTAGAGAAATATCCGAGCTTTATAAACACCTTCCAGCGCTAATCGAAATGCGAAAGTGATTAGTGGATGAAAAAGACTGTGGGTAAGTCAGCAAATTCAGTAGGAAGAGCCCTTCTATTCGTGGTACATAAATTTCACGAACCAAAAGGGGCAGCGAGAAAAGTATCTGAATATCACCTTCTCGACCTGGGGTGTGCGATAGACCCAACCTCCACGCGGTGCACCCTAGGCAGCGTATTCTCATACGGCTAAAAAGTCTATTAACCGGCAGTTGACTTCTCACTTCATAAAACCATGGCCCAACTGCTTGTCATATTCGACCGCTTCCACAATACTCATCTTACCTTTTACCCTACCTTTATGTCTGTCTACCTCTTTTACATCTGTGAATCGCTCTTCTCTTCCCCGCCCCTCAACTTTCTGCTACTTTGATTAACCTTCCCTCTGTGAAGCCCGAAGTCAGCTAAATGGCTAATGATAGCTATCAAAAAGCCTGCCATTTGAAATAAATAAATATACCTTCTCGACCTCTCATATCCTGAAAATAAAAGCCAACATATCTCAATATGGCCCATCAAGGGGAAAGACGATTGATTTGCTCATATGACCACCCTCGTCTTAATTAGGAAACAAAAAAGTTGGAAACACAAAAAAAGTGGCCTCATGATTCCATCTGATATAATCCATTCCTCAAACCCCCCCCCCTCACCCCAGTACAATTACCTTATCGACTCGGTTTCGACTCTTTCAACTATTACGCCGGAACCGAAATCAAAGGCAAACATTGGTTGAATGCCCATAAAGTATTAACAGCCCCCAATTATTCAACTTTACGTCAAATGTTCGCTTAGTGGTTAAGTGTCTTCAACAATTTCTTAATCAAACACTTACTTTCACCACGACACAACTTTGAATTCCACGCCTTCTGAAACATCATTTCCAAAACCTAGTTGGTTCCCATTTACAAATTGAAAAACTCCCAAAAGTCCCATATTTACGCCAATAATACCGATGTGCCGTTTCGTTTACAGACCATACCCAACCCAACTAATTCGCATTATTTAAATGCCAAAGTTAGGACTCAACAGTACGTCGTAAGTAAATCAACATTAAATCACATCAACTTAATGATTGGTATTTTGAAGACAATCGCGCTGACTGTCCTATTAATCCCGATTGCACTAAAAATGAGTTGATTGTATTGGAAATTAATAAAATTGATAAAATGAGAAAACTTCCTACCGTCAAATCGCTGGAATTCTGCCGAGTAGCCCAGTTAGAGTAGGTGAGAGGTCGATCCGAGGAAAGCCACCTATAAGAGTCTAGTTGTTCAAAGCTACCAGTGATGCTTCTGCGGAGTCCAATCCAAACTGGCCAAGAAAGCAGGGATATGGCAACATTCAGGTGCTCTAAAATTATTTACAATAAGCCTCACTTTAACCATTAAGATAAGACCACTACCAAAACGCTCTATCAGATGTCAAAGGCTAAGAGATTAATGTTCATCAAGTCATACCACATAAATTGAACAACCCAACCCTTTCATAAGTGCAAACCTATTTTCCTTCTAGTGGGGATGTGCGATAGACTTACCTCCACGTGGTGCACCCTGGGCAACGTATACTCATACGGCAAAAAGGTCTGTTAACCGGCAGTTGACTTCTCACTTCAAAATACCACGGCACGACTGCTTGTCATATTCGACCGCTTCCACAATACTCATCTTACCTTTTTCCCTACCTTTATGTCTGTCTGCCTCTTTTACATCTGTGAATCGCTAAATGGCTAAATGTCAGCTAAATGGCTAATGATAGCTATCAAAACGCCTGCCATTTGAAATAAATAAATAAATATTTTCCTTCTAGTTCAACAACACCAGACCAGCACTTCATATTCCCAAATGGAATGTTCAAAGAGTCAACCTGCTTTAAAAATACACTCCACACTCCAGTCATCTATACTACTCACTCTGTTCGAACAGAAGAGCGACATCTCCAACGCATGCAAACCGCGATCAATCAAACTACAAACCAAACACTCCTCACTGTCTCTACAATTAACCCCATTTCATCTCTCCACTCNTTGTTTGCATCACTCTTGCTTTGTATGATCACACGTGTTACTAATTCAACATGGACGGACATGACGAATATTCGAGAACAATTTAATCAAATCAAAGGAAAACTAATGGCAATCGTGTATTGCTGGGAATTCATTTTCCTTTTGGTAAGCATTTTTTTAAGCAAAAAAACCGACAGCTGATTATGACTGAAGTCTCGATTTCAATTGATTGGTGAGATAGTAGCCTGAAAATAAATTATGCAACGTTAAACCTTGATGCAATAAACAATATCTGTTAAGTAGCAATCAGTACCATAAATTGAAAATTGCATGTGGATACTTTGGATGGATCTGAATAAAATAGTAATAAAATATTTTATAGTAAAAGGGGGTGGACGGGAGAAGCAACAAGAATGTACTTTAAGAAACTTGAAAGAAAGTTTGGTCCACCAGAAATTTTGATTTTTAGTTCAATAACGACAGCCCCGTTGACATTACTAGGACCCATGATAAAACGTCCTTAATAACTATTGAAGCTAATAAGGTTTGATAATGCAGATTTACTTTTTTCCGCATTTAATAACCACAACTTAAAAAAACTGCACGAAGCGTGGTACTTTTCAATGTGCTTTTTTACTCGTAGCTAATGTTGCTACTTATATGTTAGTTCTCTTTTGGCATGCTGTAAATAGGTGAGGTAAAATTTAAAAGTGTACATTTTTGGAGCGGGATGCGCAATAGACTTACCTCCACGTGGTGCACCTTGGGCAGCGTATACTCATACGGCAAAAAAAGTCTATCAAACCGGCAGCTGACTTCTAACTTCAAACCACTATGGCCCGACTATTTGTCATATTCGACCCCTTTCACAGTACTCATCTTACCTTTTTCCCTACCTTTATGTCTGTCTGCCTCTTTTACATCTGTGAATCGCTAAATGGCTAAATGTCAGCTAAATGGCTAATGATAGCTATCAAAACGCCTGCCATTTGAAATAAATAAATAAATATTTTCCTTCTAGTTCAACAACACCAGACCAGCACTTCATATTCCCAAATGGAATGTTCAAAGAGTCAACCTGCTTTAAAAATACACTCCACACTCCAGTCATCTATACTACTCACTCTGTTCGAACAGAAGAGCGACATCTCCAACGCATGCAAACCGCGATCAATCAAACTACAAACCAAACACTCCTCACTGTCTCTACAATTAACCCCATTTCATCTCTCCACTCACTGCCTGCTCCTTCACATACCTATCCCTTCGTCACGAAATTCATGCTGCTAGTTTAGTTTATCCATACTCGACACGCAAGTTCACCTCACATCAGGATTCTCAAATGTTCTCCTCAACAAGGTCACTCTCCACTGAAGATGTTTAAAAAATAACCTAGCCAGTAGACCAACTTTCCAGACAAGCTCTCTACGACCTCCGTCTTCTTCACCAACCCACTTTCCAATTGAAAAAAAAACTACCTTGTGTCGTTTCGTCGTGAATTTCCATGAGGTCAGCACTGGGGTGGAGCTTTTTGCATTCCTCTCGTGCTTCTGTCCAAGTGTACACTTCCTTTGAATCATTGGAAATCTGCAATTAAAAAAACAGCATTCCAGCCTTTGTGTCCACTTCAATGTTTCATCAGAACTTATAACAATCCTCCAGCTAACAAGGAGAAACAACACACAAGCCAACCCCACATGAATACACACACCTGATACTCATTTACTATGGCACCATTGACAGAATACACTCAATTTGGGCAAATAGAATTGACTCGGAAGAGTTTGAATAAGACGTCTAGGGGTCAGGAATTAAACCAAACTACCACAAAATGCTCAGTTCAAACAATTTTGTCCAACTGTAACCTCAGCAAGTGAGGATCATGTTCATTCATTTTGGGTACAGATGGAAATGTCTGAATTTAAAGGCTATTAATTCAAGTGTTTATGAAGGTCAATATAAACTCAAGGGTTTAAAAGTGAGAAAAATAGGTTTCAATAAACACCCAGTAAGAAAGACATACACATTTCGAAAGCATTTATTTTTTAACTTACCAGGACTTATTTCTACCCTATGTGTGGACCTGCTTATATTAAACTGGCTCTAACTATGAATTTCGTACAACATCCCCCCTCACCCTC